CCCTGAGTGCAGCCCAGCTCATGTGATCTGGGAAGCTAAGCAGGGTCAGGTCTGGTTAGTCCTTGGGTAGGAGACCACCTGGGAATACTGGGTGCTGTAGGCTTCTCTTAGGAGGCCTGGTGGGGTTCTGTGGGTTCGTGTACTGGACTGTAAGTCAGTTTGAACTGAAACGTCAGCGGTTCAAGCACCCCAGCCGCTCCTGGGATGCTCTGCACAGGGTCGCTATGGGCTGGAACTGACTCAGTGACACCTAACAGCAGCAGCGATCTTAGATTAAATGCTAGAATGGGCTGTTGCTTACTTCAAAGGAGATACAGAGGGAACACATTTAATTACCAAACTCTGTTGCATGTGATTTTAAAGGGAGGGTTTGTGTTGGAAAATTTGATTAAAAAAGATGATTTATAGAAAATTGTTGTTGTTGCTAAGTGCCGTCGAGTTGGGATCCGACTCATAGTGACCCTGTACAGGGTTTCCGAGAAGCAGCTGGTGAGTTGGAACTGCCGACCTTTATGATCCTAACCGGCTTTGCGGTTTACTGCATTATCCGGCAATGCCACACCAGAAGTCTTTATAGTAAAGAACATGGTGGAGTTGATTTCTGAATAACTTTGACTTTATATTTTCCATGTGTTGTCGTTAGCTTCTGCCTGTGATCGCTGAGCAGCTCCTGTGGATGCCGTTTGTGAATGTCAAACATCACGAGCCGTTTGTGAAATTCATTTATTGGTCACTGAGGCAGCTAGATTCTGGAACGCAGGTAATGGATTCATAGAAATCTATCTTCTAATAATACTCCACTGAATAGTGTTTTTCTTGGTCTTCTTCTTTCACAGTTTTTCCCATGTGTTCTCTGTATGTTTTGTAGTCTCTGCTTATCTTCCATGCTTTATTCATCGTCTGACATCTCTTCTCTCCTTTTTGTAGTGTTTTAGTCTCTCCACCATACATTTGACTTTGATATAGAACATGCTTTTTGAGATTCAGAATTAAAATTAAATAATTTTATTTCTTTGTTAGGTTATTTCTAATAACCTGTGTGCCCCACTTACTGGTTTGTTTTTTTTTTTTTTTCATGTTCTCCTGAAGGTAACAGAACTGAAAATTTTCTGGTTTTTATTAAATAAATGCTAACTGAATGGGACAGTGATTATATAAAATTAATTAGGAGGCCTAGTATGGCATTGTGAGTTAATGCACCAGATTGCAAAGTCATTTGAACAGCAAGGTCAGCGGTTCAAGCTTACCACCTGCTCCTTGGAAACCCTATACAGGGTTGCTATGGGTCGGAACTAACTCGACAACACATAACAACATAATTAATTTAAAAAAGAAAAATTCTGGAGTCTATGCATTGCATAAGACCATAGGTAGGAACCTGAACCCCATCCAGAATCTTCTGAGGTGGGAAATTTCCATTTGAAAAGACAAGCAGACCAGCCTGGAGTGCTTAGAAGAATAGATGATACTTCCTGAAAGAAGGACCTACAGGAAATATACAAAACAATAACAGCAGTCTGACTGACTACAACAAAAACACGCAAGTTGCTCGCCCAGGAGACATCAAGGCAAGTGGTTGGATCCCCTCATGGCAAACCCCTTGCCAAGACTATGACTCAGTGGGAATACATGAGCAGACATGCGCTCTGACTGGTGACCACATTGGTCACCTATAAAGGGAAGTGAGGGAAAAACAACAATGAAGCTGTGAGCTAAGTGCAACCATGTTCAATAGACTCCTGTGAACCTGGTTGGAGACCTGGTTGGCCAGCAGTGTGGCAAGACCTGGGGACTCCTGGGCCCAGAGTCAGTGACATAGCCACAGAGGACTAAAGTGGAGAATGAAGCGTCCAGCTGATAAGAAGAGAGGGCATATGCACAAGAACACCCACACTTGCAGATAATACCCATTTGACCTGGCTTCAATGGCTGGATGATCAGAGCTCAGCTAGAAGAAGAAAGAAGAGGTAAAAAAGAGTAATCTGATATAATTTGATGAACTTGACCTACACCTATGGGTGTAGTAGCTCAAAAGAGGAAACAAGTCTTTACAGTGAGGATCATTCCCACCCCCTCCATACACAGAGTAGACAGGGATCGGCAACTTGGACATTGGCTACTCAAAATGGGAGGCCTACAAAGGCAAGAAGTGACTGGCTTACAAGCTTTCAAGAGGGAATCTAGATCCAGAGGGCTTGGAGGAAGGTAGAATCTCCACTGAGTAGTATCCAATTTGTCTTGGCAGGGCTGATGAAAGGAGATGCAGATAGGTCTCTTGTGATACAATAGTGAATAATTCTTATCAGGACTGATTGTGAGGGTTGAAAATGTAAAGGTAGACGTTTTGTAGCAAAAGGAGGGGAGTGATTGACTTTGCAGTCTAGGAGCACAAGCCCCTGGGAGTGCGGGACCCTACCCAGAGAAGCAGTGACGCCCAAGATAGAGGCAGAGACGATGACGTGGAAAGATGGAGCAGCTGGGGACTTTAAATCCAGAGGGGAGGGTGTAGAATAGACTTGCAGGGTACAGCCTTTGGTTGGTTGATGATGCATGGAGGGGATTGTAACCATGGCAATGAAACGATGCACAATAGGATGAATGTAAAACTAACGTTCTCCCGTGTAAACTATCACATAATTCACGATTAAACATTTAAAAAGAAAAATTCTTTGCAAATCTTAAAAAGTATTAGAATTTCTAGTTGTTGGCTTTGGACCCCTGCCCGCTCAGCGGAGCCGTTGTTGCCATACTGGCTGCTTGGTGGCGGGCAGGCTGCTCCACACAGCTGCGCAGCAAGAGGGTACGTTTGTCTTTGACATGTCTGATTTTGAGGGTACATTTGTCTTTGACGTGCCTGATTTTGAAAGTGTCAACCATGAGGGATGATGCCGGGAGCCATCCCTTTTCCTAAAGGAATGGGAAGCTCTGTCTACTTTTCCTATCTTGATGCCAGTGGAATGGCTGTAGGGCAGCTCATAGGGTTTGTCACGAATGGGAAACCAATTGCCGTCTTCAGCATTGCAGGTCTTAAAGCTGGAGAAGGAGGCCAGCACCTTTTGGAGCCATGAGTGTGGTTTGGACTCCATCTGTTGCTCAGGTTGGGATCTCTGTGGAGATTACTGGACGGTCTAGCTCAGCAAACACCTATAGGAAATGCTGCAGTTTCCACGCTTGATTCATTCACTCAGTTCACACAAATAGTGGACAACTTCTACAATTTTGCTTTATCATTTGCCGTCTCTCAGGACCAGATGACACCTAGTCCATCTGAAACATTCATTCCAGCAAATGTGGTTCTGAAATGGAATGAAAATTTTCAAAGACAACTAACACAGAACCGTCTCTGTTGGAAAACATAATGGTTTGAATAAGGTAATTTCCAATGGATTCTAAAATTTGTCCTGTCTCGAAGATAGACTGGACTGAAAAGTGTAAAGTCCACAGAATCATGAAATCGAAGTTTTAAAACTACTTAGTGACTGATTGTGAAGCTTAACTAAAATCTTTACAAAACTAAAAAATGAGGAAAGAAAAAAAGTGAGTATTGTGTGTTATCTACTTGTAGGGTTGTTTTCGTTAGAATTGGTGACGTGCATGACTTGTAGTAAGAGCCAGTCAGCCACGTGCTGCTGCGGACGATTGTGGCCGTGTGTTTAGGGGGGGACCATGTGCCACAGGGACTCTAGGCCCATGACCTTTTGGAGCCCGGTCACCAGCCCTTTCTTTCCAGGTGCCTTTGGGTGGGTTTGAACGGCCAACCTTTTGGTTAAGTAGCCCAGTGCTTAACCGTTAGTGCCACTCATGGAGTCCATAAATTATAGTAGTGGTTGCTGTTACGTTCTGTC